GCACTACAGTCCACCGCTCTATCCATTGAGCTAACCGGGAGGCAGTTATTGTCTGCCACACAATTCTTATGGTGTTAGTTGTGAGAATTTGATATTGGATCAGATAGTAAACCCCTGATTGATATATTTCTCTATTCTCATCACTCAACTGCTTGATATTGTATAAATATTGTAGGGAGAAATTCTGTCTTGATCACTCATGGAAGTTAAAGGGTTAACTTTACTTTTCATTACTCAATATTTAGAGAATAAGGAGGAAATTCAAGGCCTTTTAACATTGCTCATGGATGCTGCTATGAGTGAAAAGTAAGTGGGAGACAAAAGTTTGCATTTGGATACTTTAAAAATAATTATGTTTTTAGTAATTATGCAAATTGAACAAATATTTGAGTCACAATACTACTTGAGGTTAATTACGATGCAAACCAAAGTTTTCATATAATATGTGAACACTTATCATTTAACTGTTTGGGTCTGTCATCGTAAGGGTTTCAAAAGGAGGTTCTGAGGAATTTGACTCTTCAGTGGACTTTACAGGATGAAAATATAGATACATGGGAGGGCATAGCCAGCTTTTTGTCTTGTTGTACCCTTAGAAAGAGAGTTCAGTTTCTGTTTCAAAATTTGCAAGTTAGAGTGCTGTTGTATTTTACAGTAAATGGTTTGAACCATGGGGTAACATGAGATAGTGTAGTTTGATAATCTGGGTGAGTATAGTCCTCAGAAGGACTGTTGTCAGTAGTGGCGACTGACGTTTTAACAACCTGAGGGGAAGTCATCATCAGAGTCCAGTAAATAATTGTTGTTAGTTGAATGTTCTAAGTCCAGTTGGTTTAAACTAATTGGTTAGTTTTGCTGTGTTATTATTGGCTGTAAGACTCAAGTGGCATAAGTCAGTGGTGATTGGTCTGTTTCTATCTGTTGTTAAAGTTAGGACGTTCTTTTCAGCTTGGGGTTTGTAATGATAATGTCGTGAATGAGTCGTTTACATATAAAAACAAAGCAGGTGAGAAAGACCATAGGCTGGGTTAGAGGCATCCTTGGGTTCATGTACAAATGCATGAAAGAACACAAAATATCACACAAAAAAAACTTGTTTTAATTCTTGTCTTAATTATTTTATTTATGGTAGAGTTGGTGCTGAGGGGCGTGATGCAGTGATTGATGTTCTCATCAAAGTTGTTCCGAAAAACAAACTGGCTGTTGAACTATTGGTGAAAATTGGAGGTAAATTCTAGTAATAAAAATTTTACTTTTAAAAATTGATTACTTATGAAATAGCTGGTAATGCATGTAGTTTTTAATGTACGTGTTTGTTTAGCTGTCTTTTGCATTATTATTGATTTATTCTGAATACTGTAGGACATTGCCAACTCAATCATGGTCAACTTGAACTTTATGCCAACTTGAACTTCGAGTCATCTTCCCGTTAACTTAGAACGTAGAATTTGAATACAGAATTATTATGAAATAATTAATAATGCTTGTACTTTTTCTTGTACATGTTTGTTTAGCTGTGTCTTGTGCATTACTGTTGTATGCTGAATACTGTAGAGCAATGCAAACTAAATCCTGGTCAACTTGAATTTTATGCTGCTAACTTGAACTTGGATACATCTCCCGTTGAGTTTTTTTTTCAGTCATCCACATGCACTGTCATTACTGGCATGTGAGTCAGCTGCAACCATATACAATATTATGATGACTTATTTTGTCTGACACGGAACTCAGTGAACTGCTCTTTCTTCCTGTACATGTAGGTATTGGTAAGTTAATGGTTATTGCTGCCAGTACAGCTCCCTTGGATTCCCAGAAGAAAGAGGCCCTTGCAGTGTCCAACAATACTCGAATGCACATTTCTGTGGCACTGGCAAAGATGGTGGACTCTTTTGGGTGGGTTTAGACTCATGTTTCCTATACTTTTGAGCAACATTAACAGCAATGTATCTTTTAGACTTCTCGCACAGTTTTGTTTGATCTCTACAGACGTATTAACATAACTTTCTTTGCCTCCACTTCCTCCGTGATAATCTTTAACATTTGAACCATTCTTTCAGTTATCATGAAAAGGAAAAAGAACCTATGATGGAAAATGCAACGGCCGCTATCAGGTAGAGTGACCACGTGACCTTGTTTTCGTCGCCTATTTTTCACGTTTGTCGGTTGTGCGTAGCCGGTTTTACGTGAAAGTAACCTGTTTCGTGTTTCCCGTGTACGTAAGATTTTAGTCACTTTTTCTCTCACAGAGTAGAAGTTAATTGTCGGAAAAAGGGCACCAAAACTGTTACTTGTAAAAATACAATATGAAGTGAAGCTAAAGTAGCAAGGTTAACGCTATTTTACAGGAAACGTGAAAGGACAAGCTGACGTTTGCCGTTTCACGTAAACGCGGTGGTAAATCTTTCTATTAACAATTGGGTGCACGTTGCATGTGATAGTAAAACCTTCCTTGCTTATCTTTTAAATGTACTTCTGCCGCTCACATGAGATGTTCGGTGCATTTTAACTGAGTGTGACTTTATTTTGCAGCCAGTATTTCACTCAAAGCAGTCCAGAAGCACACATCAAAGGAGCAACAGCTTTAAGTTGTCTTTTCCAGGTTTGACACTCATGCAGATACATTGTAAGCTTCGTGTCGTGTGAATTAGACGGGGAAACTAGTAAGGTTGACAACCACTAGCCTACAGCACTGAAACAAACAGCATATGACATCGACCCAACAAGCGTCACTGTAAACAATATTTCCCTTAAACTTCGTGCGTCTGGATTCTCACTGGCTGATGCGATTGCGTGAGTGGAGAATCCGGAAAAGCTTTTAAACAGAGGAATTAAGAAACCTGATAACCAGTTGTTCAAAGACTGATTAGCACTAACCCATGTTCAAATCTTAATCCAGATTTCTTTTTTCTCTACTCAAGAGCCCTTTTATCACAATTTTCCCTATTCTCTTTAGAGAATCCACTCCTCAAATTGTAGACAAAAAAAATTAAACTGAATTTTCGTTTGAAGCTTTCAGATCTGAAATCAAATTTTACACTAGCCCTGGGTTATCTTAACCCAGCTTTGAACAACCTGGCCCATAACCTACGTGTAGCCTTAACCCTCCCCCCCCCCAGGTTCCCTCTTTTTCGTTTCTCCTTGGAGGGAGGGTACAGCTGCTCGTAGGCTACCTGGCCCACTGGTCAACCAACCAGAAACCAGTAAGGTATAAGGCTTGTAGGGATATTCATCCCTTTGTATAATCAATGTATCCTTTTAGGGCGTACAGGAAGCGGCTGCCAGTGTTCTTGGCAATGAAGAACTTTTGGGTAAAATCGTCGCACTTGCAGAAAGGAAAGACCGTGTGTCTCAGGTTTGAGCCTCTTCCTTTAATTCCTGTTTTTGGATAAGCATAACAATGCGTTATTTTTTAGAATAATGTTATTGATTAATGATAAGGCAGTTTCAATAGAGTATTACATGCTTCAATGTAAAGGAAAGGAAACGTAGTGTATTTGTTTACTTATGTGACTACTCTTTTACCCAGATGTAGTAAAATGAAACATCTCTGACGCAAGCTTATCTAGTAATCCAATCTGAAGACTTCTTCTCGGAGATCGTTGCTCAGTCATCTCCTTGAACATCCTACCATCTCAAACTGTAATTTCATCCGGAATTCATTTACTAACGTATCATTATGTTTTTTCTTTTTTGTTTATTTATCTGTTCGTTTATTTCACAGATTGTTGCATCTGAAACAATCGCCTTAGGAGCATCTGAAAAGAAATTAAGCACAGTACTGAACACAAAGGTAAATGGTTATGAAGTTTTTTCCTACATAGTTTCTAAGAAAAGCTTGGCTTGCCTACGGAGCAGGCATCAGAGTAAAACTCAAGCGGGCATGGTTGGTAGGAAACGCGAAAAGAGATTGGCCAGTTCGGAAGTGATTGGCAAGTGTTATTCACCTGCAAGTAGCCAACTTGGAGTTGATGTTCAACTTTTAACAGGTGTGTGCTTTTTTCTTAACAGGCTTTACCAGTTTTGAAAGCATTGTATCATTTGAAGGATGACAGCATAAGAGTCAGAGCCTTGGTGGTGAGTTCATTTATTTCACTGTGTAGTCTTGAACGCGACTGTTGTTTGAGTACGAGGCGTTGTTTTTAACCGCTTCCCGGTTAGCTCAATGGATAGAGCGCTGGACTGTTGTGCGGAAGGTCGAGGGTTCGAGCCCCGGCCGGACCAACACTCAGGGTCTTAAAATAATTGAGAAGAATATGCTACCTTTCTATAACATCAAGAAATGATTAGATATTCTAGTCTTCTCGGATAGGGACGAATAAATGGAGGTCCCGTCTCCTGCAGGGTTAGGGGCAGGAGACGTTAATTTCCCACGCACGAGATTACTGTGTGATGGATGTCCTCCCCTGGGGTGGGATGGGTGGGTAACAGGACCCCCGTTGATACCAGTGTTTACTACACTGAAGGGGCTATCCTGTATAAATATAGATGTCTACTCTACTCTACTCTACTCTA